CGTTGAATGTCTGTTTAAATAATGTTGCTCTCTGTATGGTATAAATGTGGAAAGAAATTCTGTTAAAAAGGCTTTGGAACTGGTTTGTACTTGTCAATATAAGGCTAGCCTTGTCTACTTAATAAGCTCCAGGACAGCCAGAGCTACATAATGAGATCCTGTCTCAAATCCTCCTGTACTCCCAAAATAGGTTTAAGTGGTTTCTTAACATAATTTTCATGGACAACAAGTTGGCTCAGTGGGTAAAGGCACTTGCTGCCAAGATTGACTACCCGAGTTCAAACCCCAGGACCCACGCAGTGGACAGAAAGAAGTTGTCCTCACATCCACATGTGTGCGGTGGCATGCCCCCACTGCCTACCCCTCTACCCTTCCTGCTCCCAGTAAGTAAGTAAGTAATAAAATGTAGTAAAAATTAAAATAGAAAGAAAATAATTTTCATTCAGTTCACTTGACCTAAAAATCTCACTTGCTAGAAATAAATTAACCAGGGTCTGGAGAGATGGCTCAGTGGTCAAGAGCACTGTCTGCTCTTCCAGAGGTCTTGAGTTCAATTACCAGCAACCACATGATGGCTCATAACCATCTATACTGGGATCTGATGTTCTCTTCTGGCGTGCATATATACATGCAGATAGAGTACTCATCTACATAAAATAAATACACCTTTAAAAAAAAAGAAATAGGTTAACCACCTTTTAACATTTAGATCCTTCTAGCTATTGCTTTTGTTTTATAGTTGCTGTTTATCCATTACCATATATTTTAACATACTATTTTCCATTCTCCAACCCTTTCAGATTCTTCTCCACTCCCTACCCACCCATTTTTGTGTTCTCTCTCTTATAAGAGAGAGGAAAAAAAGCCATAAAAATAGAGTCTCATTTGTGTTAACCATCTACTACTGAGCATGGGGCCTGCCTGGAGTATGGTTGATATACCCAGTATCAACGCGGTGTATATCAGTGTACTCCACTGAAGAAAACTGTTCTTCCCCTGTCCAGGAGCTATTAATTTTGAATAGTTTCTTTGCTAGGACTGGAACCTTTGCCCACTTTCCCTCTTTTGTATTGGGATTTTTGTCAGGCTTGAACTTGTGCAAGTTTTGGAAATGCTGTCACAGTCTTTGTGAATTCATATGTGCACCTTCCCTGTTGTGTCTGGAAAATGCTATTTCCTTAAAGTTGTCCACTATTTCTTACTCTTTGAATACTCCCCCCCCTTCTTTCACATAGATCCCTGAGCCTTGACAGAGGAGGGTGACAAGGACAACCCATTTAGTGATGAACACTTTAAAGTCTCCCATTCTCCGCATGTTGTCCAGTGGTTTGTTTCTGTGTTAATTACTATTTACTGCCAGAAGCTTCTCTGCTGAAGGCTGACAGTAATTCACTCATCTATGCTATAGTGGTGTGAATGAAACAGCCCTCATACACTCATAAGGATTGGCACTACTGGGAGGTGTGGCCTTGTTGGAGTAGCTGTGGTTTTGTTGGAGTAGGTATGGCCTAGTTGGAAGAAGTGTATCATTAGGTTTCAGTGTCTGCTTTGGGCTTTCAGAATCCCAAGCCAAGCCCAGTGGCACCCTTTCTTTCTGCTGCCTGACAAACTGGATGTAGAACTCTCAGGTACCTCTCCAGAACCATGTCTGCTGTATGTCACCATGCTTCCCACCATGATGATAATGAACTAAACTTACTCTCAACTATAAGCCAGCCCCTATTAACTGTTTTCCTTTATAAGAATTGCCATGGGCATGGTGTCTCTTCACAAGCAATAAAATTCTAGCTAAGTCATATGGGTATAGAAATATATTATTAGGAACCATTTTATTCCTATGGTCATTTAGCAAAATAATAATACTAAGTTTTCCCAAGGACCCATGACTGGTGTGGGGCTTAAACGCAATTTAAAAAAAAAAGGTTGTTTACTTTCCTAACATTTATGCCAATATTAAATCAGTGAGCACATCTTGCAGGCAGGTTATCATTAAAGCTCACAGGGTTCTAATTGGTCTTGTGTATGGAATCTTGTAGCACTATGAACAGTGGCCAATTGGGTGAATCTTCCAGTTGAGTACCACTTGGATTTTTCCATGTTCTACAATGTCAGTATGTGGTGCCTTCAGCAATAGGGTCTTATCGTCAAGTTGGAAATAGTCTGTGCTGTTCGGGGAACCTATGGGACCCCTTTGGCCAGTACTCAAAAAGATGTAGCTCATTCTTGTTACTGAGAACTTTATCTGCAACATATAAGATCTACTTGTGGTATTGTCTCCCCCATAATATACTGACTTCGTTTATATTTTTTATACACATATATATTTTAGGAAGCTTCTACAGTAGTAGATTTTCATATGGCTTTTTTTAACATTTAAATTTATTTTTTAAAGATTTATTTATTATGTATACAATGTTGTCTGCATATATACCTGAACACCAGAAAAGGACACCAGATCTCATTATAGATGGTTGTGAGCCACTATGTGGTTGCTGGGAATTGAACTCAGGACCTCTGAATGAGCAGCCAGTGCTCTTAACCTCTGAGCCATCTCTCCAGCTCCCTCATAGGGCTTTTCAAAATGCATTTAATGTTAGTTACTCACCCCCATATTCCGTTCTCTACTCTACTCTCCCGTCCTCCACCCCATATAAACCTTTATTCACTTAATTTTTTTCCTTTATTCTTTTATAGCACTATATCCCATTTCCCCTTGCATGGAAGTCTGTCCCACCATGGCTTTCTTTTTTTTTTTTTTTTTTTTTTTTTTTTTTTTTTTTTGAGATAGAGTTTCTCTGGGTAGCCCTGGCTGTCCTGAACTTGATTTGTAGACCAGGCTGGCCTTGAACTCACAGAGGTTTGCCTGCCTCTACCTCCCAAGTGCTGGGATCAGAGGTGTGCGCCACCACGTGTCCTACGGCTTTCTTATCTTATATTTTTGTTTCACATTCTAGTTCCTGACTCAAACCTTTTCTTTTTATTACTTCTGAACTTTTTTCTGGTTGTTGAGATTTCTGTTTTGTTTTTCTGGTTGTTGAGATTTCTGTTTTCCTGAAATTATATTTTCTTTCTTTCTTTTTTTTTTTTTTTTTGTTCATTTTTGAGCTAGAGTTTCATGTAGCCGAGGCTGGCTTTGAACCTGCTTTGTAGGAGAGGAGTTGAGCTCCTCATTCCCTTGCCTCCATTTCCCAAATGCTGGGCTTGCAAATGTGTATTTCCACATCTGGCATTTTTCACCCCTTTTGGTGTTTTCCTACATTTCCCTTTCAACTTTCGTCCTTCCTAGGCCTTCTTAGGAAGCCAGTGCAAAGGCTTGGCCATTTTCTTGCCCATGTTCTTTCTTTTCCATCTGCCATCCTTGTAAGGCTGCAGTATCAGCAGCCTGACTTCCTCATAACGGCCAGCATCCCAGCTCATCTAGAAGCCATCTGGAGCTCTGCACTGCCCACCTGGTCCCTTCTGCTGTGTTCTCATGTTCTTGGCACCAGTGATGTGTGAGAGTGGCTTACAGGCTCGCTTAGTCTTCTGTGTATCCAGCCTTGTGTTTTATTCAGGCCATGGAAAACAAGGGAAGTTCTGAGTCACCTGGGCATCTGCTGAGCTTGCCCTTTCCTCCCACCTCATGGACTTGGGGACTTTCCATCCCTGCTGGTGTTCAGGATTGAACTCAGGGCTTCATACATGGAGATTCATACATGAATCTTGGAATAGATTCATCCCACTTCATTACCATCTAAAGAAACATTAAAAAAAAATATTGGCATTTAAATGCCACCTTCCTGTCCCTTCCTCATTTTCCCTTTTATCGTCTCTCAGCCACCTGCATCGCTGTCACTGGATTGCCATGTTAAGAAACTTCTCATAAGCTGCGTTTTTTGGCCATATGTCCATCTGCCACTCAGCAGGGACATGGACTCATCTTCAGAGAGCCAGACACTTCTGCTGCTCAAGAGACAAGCTCAGGGCTCAACCAGAGTCAGTTAGAAACCTGGATCTTAACCACAGTAGAGGCCAAAGTTCACATTGCTGCCTTTATTGAGGTATCTAGAGGAAGATATGCTTTTCTCTTATCTTCAAGGAGCAATAGACTCATGTCCAGCCTCATTTCCACCTTCACCTGATGAAGCACTGTTGTAGATCTATCAGGTACTTCTGAAATTTCAAGTCCAGTGGGCATGGACCAAAGCTAGTGTTTTGCAAAGTCTGGCCCCATCCTGCAGTTTCTTACCGCTTTTTTAACTTGAGCAAGAGTGTGGACCATATGAGGGTGGTCTCTGGGCCTCATAATCACTGAAGGGATGTTTCTGTTGCAGTTTAAGTGTATTTACAGAAGCAGATGTTGTGGGTAGCCATTGGGACATTCTTTCTTTAGCAAACATGGTCAGCTGTTTCTACAGATAGCTTTTCTTTTTTTCTTTTTTTTTTTTTTTTTTCTTTTGCTTTTTTCAAAGTAAGAGGATGGGATTCAGCTGAAACAAGCAGGAGTTCAACAAGCAGAGTGAAGTAAAATTTATCCCAGCCTGTCTCTACTTAGTCCTAGAGCCCTCAGGCAGAGCCTTTGAGGCGACCACAGTGCAAGGCTGCAGTTAGATTGTGCATATTAGCACAGTAAGTGTTTAACATCTATTCTCCTTCCTTCTCCTCCAGAGTTAAACAACAGTTAAAACTCAGCCATCCTGTCTCTTCTTCGTTCCTTCTCCCTCCTCTCAGCTCATCCCAATTCCTTCACTGGAGCCCTGAGATTTTGAACTAGTCCGGGCTCACATTTGCTAGTTAGTGAAAATCTTGGTCTGTCTTCGTTCACTTGTGTGGCTTTTTCTTTTCCCAGGAAGTGTCTCATATAATTATAAGCCAGTACTTGAGCGAGGTAGTTTGCTATGTTTACCTGTGATATGAAATAATTTAGATAATTATTTGGTAATTTATGCTATTGTTGCCTTTCCAGAATTTATATTCTAAAATTTTCACACCTTTTTTTTTTTTTTTTTTTTTTCCCCTAGAGAGGTTGGGACCATCATCAGGTCATTGGGATGCAGCCCTACTGAAGGAGAGCTGCATGATTTTATTGCAGAGGTAGGTACGTGGCTGAGGAAGCATCACTCAGCGGACTTTAGAACTTGTAATAAAAAGAAAGAAAAACTTACCTGACTCTAAGGGTGCAGCTTGGGAGTGTTAGGATAGCTGTGCACATAGGTCATCCAGTCGGACCTGGAAGCATTTTGATCAAGTCTTGAAGAAATGGAGGAAATGACAACTGCCGATACATAGTTTTTAAATTAGTTGAAGATAGGCCACGCCACTGAAAAGAAGAGATTCTCACCTCATGGAGAAAAGCCAGTAACAGAGAGATTTCAGAAGAGTGTTGGTTCATAGGGAATGCAATTTTTAATTATTTGAGGAATTAAAACTAAGTTGCAGGACACATATAATAATACTTATAAATAGACTAAATTAAGAACATTACCAGTCTAAAATTCTAAAAATTATTATCCACAATAATAACAAAAAATCTTTAGTTAAAAGATCCTGGTTGGATTTCCTTTACAATTATAGATTCCTTGAAACAGGTAAGCATTTTCTCACCAGAGAAGACTGCTGGTCCTGCTTTCCTCAACCCCCAGGGAACAAAGAACAAAGATCTGATTGGCTGTTTTGAAGTTGCTTTCTTTATAAGGCATTGAAGGGTGACTGAACAATAGGAGAGTCATTGACAAGTTAACATCAAGGTACTCCAGGCAAGTTTGGTTTTTTTTGCCAAAAATTAAAACAGAAGGACTCTATTATCTGTCTATTGAAACTGGCTTTCCTGTTTGGCAGTGTTTAACTTTATCATGGATGACTCCATTTGGTTTTTAAGGCTATTCTTTGGGACTTAGTGTTTTAATCTAAGACAAAAGTCTCTTGTAATCATTGTTTGCAGTGTAGGCTGACACTGGGAGAAAGAAAGCGGTGGATGAGCAGCCCATGCCCAGGGAGCTTCATACTCCATTTTGCTTTCCAGAAAGATCTCTGATTGAAAGTTTTAGTTCAACAAAGAGAGACCTTTGGGGGGAAAAGTTGCCTAGGTCACCAGCTGGGGAAACATCTGACAAAGTTGCTTTTCTTTGCCTGGGTAGAGTTGGGGGTGTTTGGAGGTTTAACGAGGGATCAGAAAGAAAAGCAAAGTAGAGTTTGGCCTTTCTCCTTACTCCTTGTACTTGGTAGAGTCCTTGTTTAGTCAATGCTGTGTTAAAAAGAAGGAGTTTGAGATTTCAGGCTGATGCAGATAAACTTGTAGTAAAATCGATGTTACAAAGGATTTACTAATAAACTAAGTTCTATGAGGTAGAAATTAGCTAAAGGAGAGCCTCCAATATGACTAGAAGATTAGTAGTGTACTCACCAGACTTGTCGGAAACTGTAAGGATGAAAAACTTGTACCATAATTGAAGTTTAGGGATGCTAAGAAAGGTTCTCCAATGTTTATTTACTAAGATTACCCTTCAGTTAGGCTCCATTCCTATAGCAAAAGGAGAAAACTGACTTAGAAGTGGCCACAAGGCTCATCCCATATCAAAGAACATACCTCCAAGGGGCAGCTTAAGGGGTAGTGCAGGGTCACAGCCACCCTGCCATTCATCCTTGTGCTTCTATCAGGAAAAGCATAATTCTCTTGGTGGACAAGACAAACCTGGGTGGCAACTGTTCAAAAAGAACACCACTGGAGTACTTAAGAAATAATAATAAATAAATCTGGAAAAATATCTTTGCTGTGTAACCTGTCATCTGTCTAAGTGGCCAGACTTGCAGTCTCCAGTCTCTGTTTAAAGTGTTCAAAGTGGAACTGAGGGCCAGCACCTGAAAGAGGTTTAAGGATGACAGCTTATGTGAGATGCAGAAGTCCAGGTGTGTGTTAGTCAGATCTTCTATTCAAGGCCAGCTTCTTCTTTGGCATCAGCCAGAGCTGGATATGTGCTATATTTAAAGGGCTTTTTCCTTTATTAATCTCTAAGTGTGTGGAGTGATTTCTTATGGGGAAGGCATATTAATTCTAGAACAGGACAAACCACTTAATTTCTCCATAATATTGCCTACTTCAGAGTTTGCTTCAAAGATACGTTAAGTAATGTATTACAAGCCAGTCTTAAATGGAAAAACATTGTAAATGTCAAGTAGTTTAAAATTAGGAGGACTGTTGCTCAGATATTAGCACCTTGGCAGTTCTTAGTTGTTTTCACATTGCTGTGACCACAATACTGACAAACACAACTTGAGGGAGCAAAGACTTGTTTTGTTGATGCTATTATAGCAGTGTTTCTCATTGGTCCTAATGTTTAATACAGTTCCTCATAAACAGTGGTGGTAATCCCCAGCCATAAAATTATTGTCACTGCTACTTCATAACTATAATTTGAGAACCACCGTTTTAGAAAGTTCCAGTCCATTTTGGCCAGGAAAGCATGGTAGAGTCTTTTAGTTCATGGTGTACCAGGAACTGGAAGCAGGGTGGCTGTAATCTTCAAAGGTCTGGCCCCAGCCATTTACTTCTTCTAGCCTTCACTCTCTGAAGATTCCATAGCCTTCCTCAAATAGCGTCATCAGTTAGGGAATAGGTGTTGAAAACAGGAGCCTGTGGGGAGATATCAAACAAAAACCATAGCAGTAGCATCAATCTTCTAATTACTAATTTAAAATATCCAGTAAGCAATTATAAGTTCTGCCAGGTGCAATGGTGCATGCCTATAATTCTAGCACCTGAGGAGGCAGAGACAGGCAGATCTCTGTGAGTTTGAAGCCAGCCTGATCTACAAAGTGAGTCCAGGACAGCCAAGGCTACGCAGAGAAACCTTTTCTTCGGGGGGAGGGTGGGGAAGAAATTCTAAAGTTCTAAGAATACATTGTTTTTTCTACTTTGGAATTCTGAAAGTTATTTTGAATTAGGAAAAAAGGCTTGCCTGTGAACCCATCTAATTCCCTTCACCTCTCCCCTTAAAAAAGTTCTGGTTCCTAATGACTACTTTAAAACATTTATTCACAGAGCTGGAATTGGTATTAGGAAAGGCAGAGAGGCACTGTGAGAAAGATAGGAATTTAATCCCAGCAGAGGCAGGCAGATCTCTGAGTTCGAGAGGCTAGCCTGCTCAACAGAGTGAGCTCCAGGACAGCCAAGGCTACACAGAGAAACCCTGTCTCTAGAACATCAAAAATTAAAACAAAAGAGAATCAGTTTGTGTTCAATAAAGGAGTGAGACTGAAGATCAGGACAGGAGAATGTGTGTTTTAGTATATATTAGGAATCTGGAAAAAAAAAAAAAACCTGCCCAGATTGTCAAAACACTATAAATGCCATTCATTTATATAAGCATACATACATACAGTATTAATTATTCTTTATATTTATACATATTTAATTATTCTGTAAAACATTGAAACTTTTATCTGGAAATTGAATTATATAGCTAGCATGTGCTTGAATTTTAGGGTAGATATATCTCTAACTTTTAAAATTTTCTGCTTTTCCTAAAGATCAGAAATCTCTTGAAATAGATCAGTTTTTAAATTCCTCAGCATTGATTCATCTGTTTAATATTCTAAAATTAGCAACTTGCTCCACATAATCCCTGTCTGTATAGGATGTTATAAAAGTCAGCAGCTGTGAGAATGGAGGGCAGGGCAGATCTTACTGCACACAGGTTACCCAGAAGCCCTGCCTTTGCTATTAAGTCAGAGCTATCTAGGATCTTCAGTGCGTGGGAGCTGGGAGGAAAGAAAGACTATTTAAAGGCTATGTCCTTTGAAATTCAAACTCGCATAGGATTATAGAGAACTTAAACTAATCACACAGGAAAGGTGAAAGATGTCTCAAAAAAAAAAAAAAAAAAAAAGACCTGTGTTGATAGGATTATTGATTTGGGCTATAGAATTTAGATAGGATTGTGGGTTTTTTTTCTTTTTTCTTTTTTCTTTTTCTTTTTTTTTCTTTCTCTCTCTCTCTCTCTCTCTCTCTCTCTCTCTCTTTCTTTTTTTTTTTGGCAGGGTTTTCCTGTGCAGCCTCCCGAGTGCTGGGATTACAAGTGTACACTACTGTGCCCGGCTAGAATTGTGTTTTTATTGGGGGATATCTTCAGCCTCCTGCGCCTCCACACTTGTGTGGTGTGGTTGGTAAGCCATGTCTTATTGGCTCCCCTGTTTTGCTAATGTTCTGTGCTCTTGAAAATATCTTGGGGATAACAGAACTTATAGAATATCTATCTATCTATCTATCTATCTATCTATCTATCTATCTATCTATCTATCTATCTGTCTGTCTGTCTGTCTATCTGAAGGGGATGTATTAGAATGACTTACAGGCTGTGCTCTAATCCAACAATGGCTGCCTGTGGATGGAGGTTCCAAGAATCCAGCAGCTTTCAGTCCATCAACTGTATTCTCAGCTGACCTTCAGCATACACCAGAATCTCAAAGAAGTAGCTCTAATGCCAGGGAAGGGATGGACTTGCTATGGAGGTGTAGAGCAAGTAGGTGAAATAGGAGCGCTTCCTTCCTCCACGTCCTTTATGTAGGCTGCCAGCCGAACATGTGTGCTCCAGGTAGAGGTGGGTCTTCCAGCTCAAAAATCTGGATTAAAGTTTTGTCTTCCTACCCCAAAGAGCTAGATCACAAGTAGATCTTCACACATCAAATGATTTAATTAAGAAAAAAAAAATCCCTCAGAGGTGTGCCCAGCTGTTTGGGTTTTAGTTAATTCTAGATGTAGTCAGATTGACAACCAAAAATAGCATCATACCTTGATTCTCTATTTAACCTTACCTCAGTACTGTGAGGCCTCATAGCTTCTGTGATTGAACAACCTTAGATGATTTCCAGTACTTGGGCTAGGGGGAGCTGGGTGGCAGATCAGCCCATCGATGTTAACCAGCTCAGGTTTGTGTACCCAGTGAACTCAGGCCTAACGAGGAGACCATCTTGGACCAGAGTGCTGCTTAGCCTGTTTTTGCCCTCAGTGGGCTGTGTGGTGTTCCTTCCACCATCTTTCAAGGAACATAATTCTCTGCTGGGTTTTCTGGCTCATAGTATATCTGTTCCAGTCAGTT